CCATATAGCCGTTTCGATTGAGTTGCTTCAATCGTCTTTAGGAGAATAATATCTACAGATTTTTAATGAATTTATCAATGAAAAATGTATATCTCACATTCAAGTTCGCAGTCACCGTGGCGACAGATAGCACTTAGTTGGCGATATAATATAATAATTATAAAATAGTTATTAGATTATGTAGTTTAAAAGGTGTTTTATTGAGAATATATAGTAATAGCACTGAATTTAGCATTAATGAGCAAACAAATAAAATACCATTACTTGTTTACTAGTATATAATGTAATATCTCTATTTACTGTATTTTTAGATAAGTTATATAATTATGATTACAGGCCAATACCAAAAGTGTCTATAGTAAAATCTACTAAAGAACATTAACATTTAATTAAAAATTGAAGAGTATCATGCGGAACTTTATTTGACAAAAACATGTGACATGCCTAAGTATGGTCATGATGGCATCACATCATAAACACAGGCACATCATGACTATATATGGGCATACAATTATTTTGTCAAAGAAAATTGTATTGTGCGGACAGAGCTAAAGTTATTAATTTCAAAATGGGACACAAAATGTAAAATTGTTTTAGATAAATTACGGACATTTTATACTTTTGAGATGGTCTATGCAAAACAATTAATACTGTAAACGTCATTACTTTTGCTTTATTAATTGAAAAGAAACTATTTCCTTCCTGTTGTTTAATGAGATTGTTAGAGACAATTAAAATAGACAAGTAACAGTGGTGTAACCAAAGGGAAGGGGTGGACGGCGTTTGAGGGTCATCCTCCTACAAGTTAAAGTGTAGTCATAGATATCGATATGTTTCGTCCCTAGTTTTGCGCATTGCGTAAAGTTTATTAAATGTATTATTTCTATTCAGCACCTTGTGATTCCGAGACCCCTCTAATTCGAGACCACATTTCCAAAGACCAAAATAACAATCTTCATCCTTTTAACACAAAGCTAGCCCTCTAATTGAAGACCAACCCAGAGACCATCCCAAATGTCCAGGTCCGAAAGATGGTCTCGAATTGGAGGGTGAACTGTACTACTACTACTATTATAAACTTTATCTTTATTTCACAAAAAAAAAAATATCAAAACATATAGGCCTATACAAAATTATTCCTTTGCAGCCAAAGCTGAATTGTAGAAATAATTTAAGATTTACGAACAAAATCACAAATTCACGTTACCCAAAGGAAGGGACAGTTAAAGTACAAACCAACAAACACCATTAAAAACCACAAACAGAAGGAACACACCTGAAATTGCACAACTCAAAAATATTCCACTACCCACCTGCACCAATAATTTATCACTTATAACACTAGTATTTTAATTAATAAAATTATTTATATAAATATAAAGGCATTTATTAAAAGGTTATATTTATTTAATTATTAAAAATTAAAAAATTAAAAATTAAAAAATATTTGGCATGCTATTGGCTGAAAAATGTATCAAAAACCTTGTTGGACAAAATATTGCACTGCACTAGGGATGCACTACGCGCTGAAAAGAATTTAAATTTAGTGTTAACAACACAAACACTAATTATGAATCTTAAAGTAATTTAGTCAAATATGTGATTGGGCTGTTTTAAATCTTTTCGTTTTACTACAATTACTACTAGTAGTAGTAATAATAATGATGATGACGATTGTAATAATTATAATAGGTAATAATATTAATAATATTAACAATGTCTTTAAGCTTTATTATGGTACATCATCACACATATTATTAAGATCGTTATGGTTGCTGAAAATCCCTAAAAAAAGATCATGAAAATGTTGCTGGCGCTTCATTTTGATTATATATAATGGTGATGTAATGATGATGAATTTTTACTAAAAGTGTCATTTCTGGTCAAGAGGTGAATTAGGTGCGAATTAGTATGGTTTTAAACAATCATACTTTTCTTACCTCAGCCCTAACCATGGTGGGGCTGAGGTGGGTGGACCCTCAGTCTGTGAAAGTCACCTCTCTTTCGAATTCCTGGATCTGCTGCTGTTGAGTTATTATATAATTATGTTAGGCTTACATATATTGTTTTGATGCGTCTATTGCAATTACCGCTTTATCCTCTCAAAACAGTCATAACAACGTTCAGAGTGCGCTACCTCGATCCCAGGGTCTTCGCCCGTGTACCCCACTGTGATACTTGGCGCCCCCAGCCGTATGGAGGAAGTCACCCCGCTCGTACCTCGCACAACGGCTCCTTTCCTTTCAAATCGTGGCTATGTCCCTGCCACCAGCATACCGTTTTTAAAATCTTGGTTACTCCACTGAATAACATTAAATGAAATAAATTGATGCTTAGAGATACCAGGCAATTGTTCAATGACAATTGGAATGAAATCAATCCCTACCTGACTTCCTTTCCGTGTTTCTGTGTGTCTGTAATTGATTATCTAGACAGAGAACTTTTACTGACGAATGACCGGTGGCATATACTAATTCCGATAACGGTTGATTTTGAATACAGGATTAGTTTTACATTAATAATTATTTATGTATTCTTATAGGATAATGATGAAGATGAATCTCCACGATATCAATGTTGAAGTACTTAGTAATGCGGTATTTATGGGCTAAACAAACGTGTTTACCTAATGCTTGAAAATCTGTTTGAAACATTAAAGTATTCGCTTAAGGACCTCAGCAGTAGTACAAAGTAGTAAAAGAAGCAAAATGTATTGTTGTTGATGACGTTGTTGATGTGGTATATGTTGTTATTGCTGTTAATTAGTTAAGTGTGGTTATAGTAGTAGTAGTAGCAGCACCAGCAGTAGTATTAGCAGTAGCAGTAGCAGCACCAGCAGCAATATTAGTAAGAGTAGTAGTAGGAGTTGGGAGAGGATGAAAAGGAGAGAGAGAGAGTCGGGGATTTAGTCGCTGAGCAGTGGTGGCTCCAAAAATTTGCCGACAAGTGGTCCGACATGTCAACAGCGGGATCCGAACCAAGCCGACTGAGCCTCGATTAGAGGTCCCAGAATAGAAATCCCCAGTAGGGTTCGTAGGGCAAGTTTTTATGGCTTAGTAGGGCCCAAGTGCTATTTAGACCACAATATTAGAGATTGGCAATCACATCAAAATAACGTTAGGCCTATGGATAGGAAAATCTCGCCGTGCCGTCGGACGACTGGTGCCACCAGGCTTGTCCGACGTTATGTACATGGTATTAATAACAGTATGGTTTTAAACATTTATAATATGTTCATGTATTTTCAGATCGAATTGACGGAGTTCCGTCCGAGGAACAGATCGAGAGGATAATAACTAGATCAAATCGAGTTCGGCCAAGACGACAGATAAGCTCAATGGACAGAGCCCGTAGTGCATTTAGGACAATCAAGGGGCTGTTTGTTCGTTCATTGTTTAGTATCTCAACAACTTTGGCAGTATGGCGCGTCGTTATGGTAAAGGATACATATGTGTACTGGTTTCTGCTAGGCACCATTGTATTCCTGTACATCGAAGCTGTAATAACATTTATGCAACGGGAATCAGGAGAGTGGAAATGGTAAGGTATATTTTGGGATAGATAAACGTACCGTATGTGTTAGTATACGAACATTCTTTTATTGACGTTGGCTGAAAATACACTATAGAATCATAGAGTACAGCAGAGTATATTACACTTACATCAGTTTTTATATTCCTTCATTTTTGTCATGGAAGCTTTTAAATGTCGCTTGAATGACAACCATAGACTACAAGCCTACTGAATTGTTTTCTTTGTCGTGTTTATCCTTCTTGATTGGGCATTATCTTAATTTTATATTATGCTAATAATGCACATTAAAATAGCTATATAAATTGTGTAAGACGCCATATAAATACAAACGCATTAACATTAATATAGACATAATTCTTAAGAGATTTAGATCGTCCGCGCTTGATGAATGCATTTTCCGAAAACCCATTAGTATGAATACAGGCCTACTCTAATTCCTAATTTACAACAACAAACTCATATCAAAAGTTTCGAATATTTTCTAAACATAGTGTAAATATTAATGTACATTGTGGTCGCGCCATGAGACTTTCTTATGAAATTACGGTACATTCAAAGTATTCTAATATAACTAACTTCTTAAATCTCCGCCGATACGTCATCTGTTTATGGTTATATTAATACATTGTTATAAAGAAATAATAAATAGATAACAAAGAATGGAAAGAGATGGCATAGTACTTATGCTACTACTGGTGTATATACTACGGTAACGTTGAGATGAATGGCAAACAGACAAATAATAGGTACGGTAATGCATAATATTAAGCTGCAGGTCAGAGCCTAAAGCTCTGTCTACTCTATAAAATTTTGTGTGACAAATTTGTGTTCCCATATATGGGCATGATGACGACATATTACACCCAAATATGGGCATACCACATTTTTTTGTTACATAAACAAGAAAGTTAGTTTGGACAGAGCCGGGCACTCACTGCGCACGACGATCGTCGGCCGACGCGATTCTATAAAGAACGCAACGCGACGGCGCGCACGTATAAGGGATCGTTTTTAATGACGATCAGTTCAGACGGCTGCCACCGACGATCAACAGACGGTGTCGCGTCATCTATCGCTCGCAGAGAGCGGAGTTGGATTCGTCGTGTGACAGTCGTACCCGGCTTTACATTGATAATGCATATTAAAGTGATAGTACAAACACATTCACACTGTCCAAACAAAGTACCAAAATCAACGTAAGTATTAAAGCAATGAGGCATGATCTTACCAAAACTAAAAACAAACAAAACATTCTTTGAACCCATTTACTAGAAAAATGAGTGTCTCAACATAAATGTGGCGATTATTTTACTTGCAGATTATATAGTAATGCGGGGTCAAATTCATATTATCTCGGAAAATACAATTGCAGTATAGGCCTACTCATAATTGGATTAATTAAAACTGTTACTTGAACTCACTAAACCCAGAAAAAAGTCCAGTTTAACACAAAAAATGTTCCGATATTGATACAGTATACTAGAACAGAACATGTAGCCTACTAAGTCTCTTTATTGCAAGCTCGTAAATAAGATTATTTGCGTGAGGAATCATTAAAGGGCGGCATTTCTTCATTTTATTAGTGTAATAAATTATGAGTATACTAATAACAATAATAAATTCCAATAATGCACACCGCAAAGTTCAATGATCTATTATATTGAAAAACGTATATGACGGTTAAGAACCTTGTTTAGCACAATGCTCAATAATTATAAAGCTAAAAATGACGAGTACAGGTTCTCAAATTGTTGAAAAGGTTGCATAAAAGTAATTACGGTAATTTTTATGGAGTTATTTTATTAACGAAAAGCTTATTTAGCTTAACAAGCACCACAACTATTGTATTAACAAAAAAGTTGGCATATTAACAATTATAAGACCAGTGGCATAACGTCTATGCGCTCTTTTGCGACGGTCCGCAGGGCCCCGACCTTTATGGGGACCCGGGGCCCCTCCCTTAGAGTCATAACACTAGCACCCTGATGCAAAAGAGCTTTGTTGATACATAACAGCATATTGTGTCTCTTACTGCATGACATGTCTTATATCCAGTGACGGATTATAGTGAGTGCCACGTCCGGCATTCTAGGTGCCATAATCATAAATGTTCTCACCTCAGCCCCAACCATGGTGGGACTAAGATGTTATAGACCTTCTGTCCGTGAAATAGACCCCCCTCTATTTCAAATTTCTGGATCCGCCACTGATATTATATCATTTTTGTCGTTAAAAGAAAATGGCCAAAAATAATTAAAAACCCCGGTCTCTCAGAAAGCCACAGGGCCCCCGGCTCCGCGTTACGCCACTGTATGAGACATGAATTTGTTTCTTGTTATTTTGAATGTACATCCTTAAAAAGACATTCAAGATAAATTGTAAAAAAAAAATAGTAACAATTAAACTAACGATAAACTTAAACATTGGACCTTTCCGGAGTGCCAATCAAACTTAACAACCAACCAATTAGCATAGGGCCATCAATATGCACGTGTCCAATAAACACACGTGCTGTCCCACAAACGCATGTGTTTGCACATGTGTTGTTAGGGACCTTAGCAACAATATCCAAGGGGCGGGGCTTAGCGGAACTGTTCGTTCCTTTATATAAAATACAATATTCTAAAAACAATACCACCAAATAAGACAATTAAAACATTTTTCAGGAGATGGAGCAAAATTAGTCGCTTTCTATGTCATTCTTTAACCCCATTCGAACAAAATATAATACACATTTTTACGTATAATTTTATAGTAAATTATCATAAAAATATATGTTAAACAATTAGATTTAAGATGTTCATTTATAAAATGCATTAACCATTTTGGTTGCTGTACAGAGAATTCACAAGTGCACAAATATATATATATAAACAACAGCAATATAACAGTAGATTTATATAACATCATATATAAAGAAGTGTTATTGAAAGTTTATAAATATTTATATAAAACAGGTTAAGTCGTGTTTTTTAAGGTAAACATATATATATAGCACGAGTAGCACTTAACAGACTAACTTATATTTTATTATTTATACACAAGCTTTTGCCATACTGCCTTCATTAGGTGACTGAACCCGCTGAATCCAGCGTAGACTGCTGGTGAAAGCTTGTATAATAAACTAATAAAGTTTCTTGTCTATAAAGTGCTACTCGTGTTTTATTCAATATTTTTGACAGTTAACACTTTAATATTATATATCACATTATACCGGTATATAATATGTAGGCCTAAAAACATAAAAGAAAGAAAACGAAAGGAAGAAAATGAAGGGGAAAAGAAATTAGAATGATGGAAAAATGGAAAAGAAAAGGAAAGGAATAAAAGAGAATGAAAAGAAACGGAAAGAAAAAGAAAGTGAATAAAAAGAGAAGAAAAGAAAATAAAAGGAAAAGGGAAGGAAAAAATAAGGTTATAAAAATGAAAGAAAAAGAAAAAAAAGAAAATAAAATAAAGGAAGGAAAGGAAAGGATGAAACCAAGATAAGTATAGAAATGAAGAAAACTAGAGAAGGAAAAAAGAATAATGGTAATGATAGTGTTAAATGTAAAAAGGTAATGGAAATTAAAATAAATGATAAAAAGAAAAGAAGAAATAGGAAAGAGAAAGTGATAACATATGAAATATATAGAGAAAAACTGTAAAAAAAACTATTGAATTTCAAAAGATTAGGCACTTGCCTATTTGAATAAATTGCTTATTATTATTATTATTATTATTATTATTATTATTATTATTATTATTATTATTATTATTATTATCCTCATCACCATCATCATCATCATCATTATTATTACTATTGTAACTATTTTCATTATTATTTATATTTATATTTTCATTATTATTTTATTTTGTTTTATTTCTTTATGTTTTATTTGTTTTATGTTTTTTTTTTCTGACGTAATAAATATCGTTGCACACAATTAAAATGGTCTAGTCTTAGCAAGTTATTACAGAAAGCAAATTTCGTTGATTTATCCTGCAGCACAAACATCTTGCGTTAGACGGATTTATTATTCGTTTGCAAGGTGAAACCACGTAAATATGTATAAGTACGAAAGGTAAACAATTACATATAGTTCTCTTTAATGATACGATGAAAATTCGTAGGCCTATGTTAATATTTTGTTTTCAGAGACACTGACACTATTGCTGTCCGTAAAACGTCATTCACATTACGTGGCATTATCATTATAGTCATTGTGTGAGCTTTCCTGATCGATTTCCCCGATCTCCATTATGCCGCAATGCTGCTATAAACCGCTAAATATGTATTTGCGAGATGAATTACTTTTTAAAAACTGAGTAGGCCTATCCGAGAAAAGTTCTAACTTTCTTATTTTTGGGGTTACATACTGCTTAGCCGCTGACGAGTTGATAACTTTGAACTTGCAACGCAGAAGGGGAATGTAAGATAGGTCAGGTGTTTTTTTAAGTGATTGACATACACATTTATTTTTCTATTTCGATCACAGGGGGTTGCTTTCCTCATTTTATTATGTCTGTATGATAATAATAATAATAATAATAATAATAATAATAATAATAATAATAACTTTTTAAATATAATAATCATAGTAATAGTGTTGAGTAGAGGCTATGAGGATGATAATGATGTTGATGATGATGTTAATGTTGATATTAATAATATTAATTCGTAATAATTGTATTATTAATTTGTCAGTTATATTATATTCTGGTCATTGACTCAAAAACATATAAATTAATAAATCAATCGTTCATTATATGGCGCCTTGCTAACTGCTATTACCCGTGCTATCGTACCATGGAACAATCTTGTCCGCTCTGAGGATTATTTCATAACACTACAGCAAATAATCAGTGCTTGGTGTTACGCTCCAATGTGTAGAGAGACTAAGATAATCATTTTCAAGTGATCTTTTGTGTTGATGACTAAGCTTTGTCCTCACTATCAAATATTCTTTGACAAAAAAAAAAGTTGCATGCCCATATATAGTCATGATGTGCCTATATATGGTCATGATGTGCCTATGATATGGTCATGATGTGCCTATATATGGTTTATGATGTGCCCATATATTGTCATGATGTGCCTATATATGGTCATTAAGTGCCTATGATATGGTCATGATGTGATGTCATCATTACCATATTTTTCATGTCACATTACTTTGTCATATAAAATTTGCTAGTCTAGACAGGGCTTAAGAGAGTGATTAAAGTATTATTGGAAGATAACTTAATATTCAATTAACAAAATAATTCAATTTTGTTTAACTATTATTATTTTTAATGACTGACATTATGTTTAAGTAGCATCGATATATTTTATAGTTATAGCAATATAGAAGTTAACGATCGATTGCGCGACGACGCTAAGAGCTAGGAACTAATCACGTAAGGTTGAGTCATCTGCGCTGCGCACACGAATGAGTTGTTGTTGTCCTCCAAGACGTAGTGGTTTGGCCTAATCTATGTTTGGGCAGAGAACGCAAACGCAGATAAATCACGACGAGTGGATCTGTTGTAGTCAGTGGCGGATTCCAGGGAGGCTCAGCCGGCCAAGGCCCTACCCCCTCCTTTCTCAAAATTGTTCAAGATTATTTTTAAAAATGAAGAAAAAAGGAAAATAGAGATGGAATTCAACCAGCAACATAAAGCATTGCTACTGTCTCTTATACACATCTAGATGTGTATAAGAGACAGCACCTATTTCGAATTCCTGGATCCGCTACTGGTTGTGTGCCGTCGCAATCTAAATCTCCTTAGGTAAAATAGTTTTCTAATTATTTTTTTCTAATTTCGATAGGTTTTGTCCCAGTGTGTTCTTCTACCTGGTTAGCATCTTGCCACCTCTCTGGATACTGGAAGACGAGCTTCTTCATCAGAGAATACGAGCAACACAGCGGAAAAATCTTGATTTAAAAGATTGTGTTGCTTCTGGTGATATATTTCACAACGCTACTGGTCTTGCAACAAATGTTGGGGTAAGTAAACCAATGAATGTTGATTAATTGCGATAGCGACGTTATTCACAATAATAATTCCAGCTATCAGTATATATTACAACAATACAGTTTGGTGTTTTGTAGAACCATATCAATAAGTATTTGTAAAGTAATTTTTGACTAAATGATGTTTTAAACGATTCTGTAACTTTTTGTTAACGTTATTTTCTAACAGAAACTAACCACAAAGTTCGCGAATGTTATAATAATGTTTTGTGTTTGCTGGGATAAGGCTATCATCATTGGTGATTTGGAAATTAATGATTGTGAGAATTGTGTATATTGTTATGAATAATGTCAATATGCTATGCAATCTAATGGTGGAGATGTACTTACCGTAAATGCTTGAATAAGCGACGCTTACAAAATTTGTGTGTCTTTATTGTGTTATTTATTCATTTTAACTGTATACATTGTATTTAAAACCCTGTTTCATTACACAGAGAGTAATATTTATATACCCTATAGAATAAGCGCCCTAGCCCTTAATCGAGAGCGGCACTTAACGAAAAAAATGCGTTTGGTGCGGCGCTTATTCGAGCATTTACGGTATTAGTTGTTTATTTCTATTTCTGTAATTTAGTGCTTATAATAATCAGATTTTATGTTTTTTTAAATTAAATCTGACGTTTTTTCGTATTTTCTTACACATGACAAGCAAAACCATTTTTTATTTTGAATCAAAAATATATATTTTCCAGATTGAAATACCACTTGACTTAGAAGATCATAACTGGTCCTTGGCTTTGCAGCAGACACTTATCTTCTTGTTGATCCTGGGAAGATGGTGGCTTCCCAAAGGTGAGCTAACACGTGACCAGTTGTCCCAACTTCTATTGGTTTACATCGGCATTGCCGCAGACATCCTGGAATTCGTCACAGAAGGTTTGAAGATAAAGGAGGTTCGATGTAACAAGATTTTGGTCTACTGGATTCTGATCATCTGGTCTTGGAGTCTTCTTCAATTTACTCTCGGTCTAACGGTCACAAAGGCACGTAAGCCTCGAATCTCAGGAATGGACCAGCGTTACGAAGGTCGGGTTTCGATGTGTAATATTTGCGAAACTGAGGTCTGGGGTATAGTCGCTACTATCATTATGCAGGATGGTCCATTTCTTTCCATGCGCTTATATCTACTTATACACCTGAATGTTGTCAATCAAATGATGATATTCTTTACATTTAAAAATGTTCTAGTTATGCTGCTACAGTTGTATCGCCTTCTCGTGCTGTACATTGAGAAACCAAGTGGGCCAACTGTCCTCGTACAGACGGTTTACAAATACAGACGGCAACGAGGCAAAAGCCGAGGATCAGAAACAACAAGTAAAGGTTCTTTACTCACTGCGTCAGAGTACAACAAGTTAGTTGCGACAAGATCTGGACAAAACGATCCTAGACTGCCGATGTCATCTGCGGACATGATGGAATACGGAGAGACAGAGTTTGATGCCCCTTTCGCTGGAGAACATTTACCTGGAAATTCTAATCCAACTGCATTTGCGAAGAACAATAAACAGAAGGTATCCCATGTAGCCCGAAAACAAAACCATCACGGACAGCAAATACAGCCAAATAAGGCGAAACAAAATAAAGATGTAAATGAATTGCACCATACAGTAACACAAGGTAGGCAAGTCCAAAAAGAGCACATTTTTTACACAAATGTTGAAAAAAGGGAACAAAAACCTCATTCTTCGAAAGATAAGGATAAAGTGAAATCCTTCAAGAACATCGACAAACAAAAATTAAAAGCATTGGCACCATCAAAGCCGAAGAAATCAACCTTTGGTGACGTCGCAACCCAAATGCTAAATCCTGCCAAAAGGCTTAACAGGCATACAGAAAAAAGTAAATCCGTAGAAAATTCAAACGATGCTAAGAAAGTTAACGCTCTCATAAAGATGTACGAGAAGGGAGATTCCAGGCCAGGATCTCCGGCTAAGCAATCGAGTCAAACTCTACAACCTAAGTCTAAATCAAAACAGGAACTTCAACCATCACGATCTCGGTCACTGGACGCCGAAGACAGCAGTAAATGTCATATACTGACGTTTAATGATTTATGAGTTGATATTAAACATTACCATCAATCACCTGGATGATATGAAATCAAAGTACATCATACAATTCTGAAGATACTAAACCAACATTAGTATACCAAACCGTATAGCAAACTAATTAACATTAACTACAAGATTCACTATACCTAATTGATCTAATTAGATACAAGGGGATGATAATTATAAAATATTTTGCTCTTAATAGATTTATTATTAATATCATGATATTTGAAATGGCAACTCAATTCTGTCACTCACTGCGTCCGGCGGTCGTCGGCCGACGCGATTAGGAGGAACGCAACGCCACAGCGCGCGCAACAGATCGTTTTTAGAGTGCCTCCAACAATCACCAGACGGTATCGCGTCGCCCAGTGCTCACAAGAAGCGGAGTTGGATTCCTCGGCAAGCGGTCGTACGACGCAGTGAATGCCAGGCTTAAGTAAGCTACATAAGAATATTTTTGTATTGATATAACTTTACTCAAAGTATGATAATGATGTCCAATAAGGTTTAACTGAGACACCTCCGAGAAGAAGTTGAATGCCATAGTAGGGTTGATTGTTACTATTACTGGTGGCTGTCGTAGTGAGTGTACTTGTTGGTGCACTTGGTGGTTAAGTTATTTGAACTTACCAAATTTTCATGAACCCCAGGACACAGATTGTTTGTTATAGATTCCGTGTATAATTCAAATTAGTAGGCATAAGCCTAAGTTTTCATACATTTTAATGTAGGCCTAAACTGTTTTTTCATATTGTAGCATTTTTGTCATACACTACTCCGTAACATGTCGAATTAATTATTGTAAACGTGATCAAGCATGGAAGCTAAATGATTATATAATGTGAGTGTATTCAAATTATCAAGTTTTATGCGACAAATGTGAATTGCCCATATAATGTGCATGAAGAATGGTATCACATCTAGATATGGGAAGGATGGTGTCATAATACCCATATATGGGCAAATCATAGGCCCTATGTATTTTTCACATACAATTTGATGATGTGGATAGAGTTTAAATGTGTCAGCGCCTAGATACGATGTTGTGGTATCCACTTTATAAGTACTTTGTAAAAAATGTGTTCCCTTTAAAAATGCCATAAATTGCGTGATGTTCATGCCCGGCTAAGCCACTCAATGCTGGTTTGGCAAACATAGAGTTGCACGCATGAGTAAGCCTAGCTCACAAAGTCATTACTGTAATATTTCAAATTGCTGTGCTACAATTTTAATAATGTGCAATACGACAAAAATATTGAAGAGTGAAAAGTTAAATCAATTGTATTTTTTTAATTCTTATATGTCTATATATGTTGGAATACATATTTATATAAAAATAATATATAACATTATCGGTTTATGTATATATATATATATACATAGGCATATATATATATATATACATATATATATATATATATATATATTTAGAAATCAAGATAGCCATTAACACTGTTAAATTATATATAAATCATCAAAGAAAACTAAATTCAGTGTTCGAATAAAGGACATAATGGTACATCGTGTAGCATAGCTCCCAACGAATGTTGTTCTATAAATAAATAAATAAATAAATAAATATTGTGTAATAAACTGCCTCTAACGGGATTCGACCTATGTATATAGTTCTATATAGGCCTAAGCAATATAAAGCATTACGGCAAGATGGGCTCTGCCATAATACTTCTAATAATTCCTTGCTTTTCACAGGTTTAGGCCTACCAGTATAAACAATATAAATACAAATTAGTAAAATTAAATCACCCCACTAGGTAGGTCTTACACCGAATAAGAATTTCTGGATCGGAAAGCCTACCGAACAGGTCGAAAATTTGGATCAGTGAATAAGAAAATCGACGCTGGCGCCGTCAGTTGGCCGTACTGGCGGCCGTGGTCCGAATTATTCGGTTCGGATCCGATGTGAATACAACTAACTAACTTACGCTTAACATCTCATCCCAAACTACGGTGCGCTAATGTAATTTCAGCCTTCGAAAAAAAGGGGAGCAGTGATGTAATTGGACTAGAGACCAAGGATTTATCTTTTATTTGATAAAATCACTCACTAAAGCATGTCAGGATAAAAAATAAGCATGTTAAATGAAATGATTATGCTGAAACCACGTGGAATCGTGAGTATGATTGTATTGATACATATTTAAAATCATTCTTAAAATCATTTTTCTTAGTCCATATTTTATATTTCAACGTCTTTTTATTGTAAACTGAAGCTTGATTTTCATACAATAGCTGCACGCTATCGCTAACAACTTTCGGTGACGCTGATTGGTCGGTCGAAATTGCGTCGGGAACTGCGTTTCACCGAAAACAGTATAGCGATTTTAAGGAAACCACGCTTAAGGTGATTTGTTACTAAGAGTAGACTAAATTAGTCCACCTCATTATTTAAATGTTGAATAATAAGGTGGCGATTCTAAGATGGCTGTGAGGAATTAAGTATTCGGGTTATTTCGATAGGTTCGTTGTACAACCCATGTTCGGTTTTCCTTACAGTTCAGTTCGTAGAACACTCGTACTGAACCATGACCGAACAAGCCTTGCTGTTAGTCCTAGCTAGGGCCTAGTCGTAATAAAATAAGCCTACGTCGATTAGCCTACGCAAAGTTACCATATTACTGTATTTGTACATTGTGTTTTATGTTACATGTAGTGGACCTGCCAAGTGAGGTTTAGGGCTAGGCCAGCTCCACCAATCAGCACGTCCAATTTGCGTAAAATCGTCGCAGCAATAACCATGACGGCTACAAAATGATAGATTTATAATAAATTCGCATAATTTATAATTTATATTTACGACAAATTTTCTGTATTAGTGTCATGTTTCGTATTTAATAAAATGCTGTTATATTCGATACGTCATGAATATCGCTGAAAACACATTTGTATATTAAATTTGTATTTTTGGCCTGTATTTAGGGTTTCTAGCTCTTATACTCAAGCTCAAATCAAATTTGTACGTTTCTCATTGCTAACTAAAGGTCTATATGAATGTAAAATTTGTGTTGCTTTATACACGAGTTTAAGTAGATTTCAAACCCTATAAAGCCAGGCACCCACTGCGCCCGAGGGTCTTCGCCGACGCGATTATATGGAGAACGCAACCCCATGACGCTCGTGCATCAGATCGTTTTTAAAGACGATCTGTTCTGACTGCCAATGACAAAAAGTAGACGGCGTCGCTCGTCTGACGCTCACAGGAGTGGAGTGCCCGGTTGAAGTTTAACACAATTATTCATGTATGTGTGTGCGCGTTAAGTGTCCCTCTCAGAGGATTAAACGGATTTATTTCTATTTCATTGAAACTCATGTGTCTATATCACTTGATGGGTAATCTTGTTATTAAATTGTCGAAGATGTGTGTTATACGAGCTGTTTTGTTATTCATTAAATAGCATTTACAAGAGAATCGACTAAACACTTACCAAACACATCATGCTGATCACGTGGTTCACAGAAATTTGTATCATTGCAACCTGTTCCTGTTCTTAAGATTTTTTTTTTTACAAAAGAGAGAGATTTTTGTGACGCCGACGTGTTTCATGTGTTGGTTAAAATGCTTTTAAATGCTTAATAATTTAAATCCATTTTATTTTCCCACATGCAATTTGTTAAATTTCACTGGGAAGCAATAAATCATAAAATTGCTAATAAATCATGTATTCAAAAATGCATGTCTATTAGAAGTAAATAATACCGTCAGTGCTACATTTGTTTACCAAGTTAATCCAAATTACACATAACATTTATACTTTTGAATAATATAAAACTAATATATCACTGTGTAAATTATGTTCCAAGAAGTCAAGAGGTCCATCGATTCCTATTTTCTTAATGTATATATACTTATATATACTTTTAAATATATATATAGGCATATATATATATATCTTAGAGATCTAAGATATATCCCTTTCTCGAGTGCACGTTTGTCACTTGAGTGAATATATATATACATATATATATATATATATATATATATATATATATATTTACTCAATTTTTTATATATATCCGATGTAGTTGGTTCCACGTATGTCTCACAAAAATATATAATAAAAAGCAAATACGAAAAAGAAACGATTGCATACGTTGACATAATACAGACATAAAATTTATTCAAGACGAATATTTCGGACACGCCCGTGTCCTTCCTCAGCGTTATGCGTATGACTGAAAAAATACAGATCAGATGAACTAAAAACTGTAAAAGAAGTAATAAACAGTCGGCAACATAAAAAACGTTGGCGGTAACAGGCCTATGAAAATAATTGAGCGGAATAAACAAAATGTCGGCAAAGTAATCAGCGTGTACACTGTAATCGAAACAGTGACAGTGGGCTTAAATAAATGATAAAGGTATATTTAATGAAATACTGTTTTATATAATATTGTTATAATATAAAACTATTAAAACTATAATGCTAATTAAAGTAATATAATGATCATCATTTATAAACAGAAATAGAAATACTTATAAAAGGTAAACCATTTATATTATTTAGTGAAGGAATAACCACTTATGAAACCTAGGTCTTGTTAATACCAATATTGTGTGTGTTAAGTTTCAGGATCCATTGAAGTTCAGCACAACGTCTATCAGTTAAAGACCTGAACCCTGAAGCAATTAAAACAAATCTCATATCAATAACAGAGTGGTTAGGAAGATTGAAATGTTGTGCAACTTGCTCTTGAACACATTCACATTTGGTGAGTTCCGTATTTCAATGGGCACTTTCTTCCATAAATATGGTGCAGCACAGGAAAGAGAAACCCTTCCCGAAAGATTTTAATTTCCATCTTGGTGTGTTTAACCGATGATTTTGAATGGACACAATGCATGATAACTGGACGTCAATAAGTCCAAACCTATTAAAATTCCTATTCATTGTGATCTTTCGATCAAATCCAATAGACAATTTTATTTCATTTAATTTATTTCTCTCAATATAAACATAAACAATATATAATATACAATAGGTACACAATACACTAAAACAGTAAAACAAACCTAACAAAAAAAATTGGGTCATAAAAAAAACATTAAAAGAGAGAAGACCAAAAAAGCGAACTGAATCAATTATCAAGTGGTTACCCTTACAAAAAAACGACACAATAAATATAATTCATAAATACCTTTTTAAAAATCTATACAATATATTTGTTTAATTGTGTAATTGTATTATTATTATTATTTTATTATTATTATTATTATTATTATTATTATTAATTATTATTATGTTACTAAAACCTACCTTATAGGGAACTAAGACAATGGAGAAATTAGAAAACGATTAAAAAAACCAAGTTACGGGGAAAATAACACAAAAGTTATTTCCCTTAAGTCCGATTTAGTGCATGTTGTTTACCATTATTATTATTATTATTATTATTATTATTATTATTATTATTATTATTATTATTATTATTATTATTATTTTTATTATTTAAGAGATCTACGAAGTGAACTTAGTCAAATGGTATTTCTAATATTATTGGGTAGTCTGTTCCATGCCCGTGGAAAATGATTAAAAACAGAATATTTACAGGCATTGGTTCAAGAAAAGAAATGAGCGAAGATAAGATTATCCGGATGACTTGTATTAAGTTTGACCAATTTAAAGCTATCAGGTGAATATTTTTCCCAGAGACAGTTAACAACAAATATAATGCATAAATAACAATAACGATCTTCAATAGAGGTAAGTTCCAAAAAAAAAATCACAACGCTGGGCATAGGCTTGACGTTTTATTGCATTATTTCAGGTGATAATTTTATACTGATTTTAACAAACCTTTACACCAATTACATTATAGACCTACGCACTATTTTGATCATTTTTTACTATAGGTGTTTCCGCAGAATAACTTTTTCTTCTGCAAACTCTTTGCATTTCCATTTGAAACAATGGAAATTCTATATAAATAGTGACTTCTAACAAAATATTCATGAACATTGTTTTTTGGCAACAAAACAAAATCTTGTCATATTTTGACACATATTGCAAATAAGTAGATAAACTCTATATTCCTCGCCTCAAAAAGTTCAAATTCGAAAAGCCATCGGATTAATATAATGCACTTGATATATATATATGAGTATAGTATTTAGACAGCGAATGATCTTTAGGCTACTTCAGGTGAAGTAATCCCAATAGTACTAGCCGCCGTGTCTCCTGTAATATGTGAGTATTAGTGTTGTAGTACAATATACACGGATGATTTAAGTCTCTAAAGAAGAACAAGAGTTCTGAAGCACATTATAAGTACGAATTAAGCCATATATGGTAATATAAACATTGTGTTAAAAACAACGCATGTGCACATAAATGTGTTTGGCAAGTTAGGTTAAACTAGAAACATTAGCTGGTCATGAATTTAGTAAAACAAATAAATAATAATAACAGTGCTTGAATAGGAACATTATAACCGTATCAATCTAGCCCTTCAATAAAAAGTTCCCTTTTTACAGTTGTATGAAAACAAATGTCTCTTAATGGGATTGGAATCTGCAGCCTCATATTAAGGCGAGTATCATGTCATTAGACCATATGTACAATATGGTATAGACACAAATCTAACCCACTAGGCACCTTCTCTCATATAGAGCCTACATGCATACATACATATCTGTCTCTTATACACATCTGATGTGTATAATGTATATTATAAACACATAGATGTGTATAAGAGAGAGTATATATATATATATATATGTATATATATATATGTATGTATGTATATGACCAACTGTAGCTTAGACTTTTAATTAAAAAAATAATAATAAAAACCAATTTAAAGAAATTGAGAAACGAAAAAAAAATATTCATCATGGCCAGATGAATGAAAATACTCAATCGATTTGTCACTAATATATATATATATGACCAACTGCAGCTTAGACTTTTAATTAAAAAAATAATAATAAAAACAAATTTAAAGAAATTGAGAAACGAAAAAAAAATATTCATCATGGCCAAATGAATGAAAATACTCAATCGATTTGTCACAAAATCGTAACCAGCCTTCACCATGCCCTCACGATGTCACCGGGGACGCAATTGCCAAAAAACTATTTTTGGCAGCGAAGAGACGATACCAATTCAACAATTAACGAACTACCGTGTTTCTGGGTTGATTTGCAAAGTACTACATGGCTCAACTATTTTTGACTTAGGGGTTAATTGGTAAAAATAGCAAATTGGTATAAACACAAATCATACGACGTCACTGACAACGCCGGGGACGGCAACTCGATTTTGAAATTAATTTTCCAAACAAAGTTATACTAAATAACTTCTAATGACGAACTATTGACTTTAGTTGTCTTTGTTGGTCATTCAACTGTCATTTTATCAAATTTTTCTGTGATATTAACATTCTCAATAATCTATAAAACACCCACATAACAAAGTCACGTTAGATCGATCGGTGTAGACGCCGTGGTGACGCCGGTAGGGTAAATTTTCAGTTTAAAAACAGTTTCATTGGACTAAATTCTTGCTTATGTTGACTACATGCTTACCTAAGATTATACTGACACTGGTTTCAAATGAAATAACTGACAACTTTGGTTTGTATCAATGTTTTAATAAGTATATAAAACTATGTCACAAATACGTATGCAAAAATGCGCAGGGACACCACGCTGGTTTTGTATTTTTCTTGAAATCTGTATGCCTGATCACCATCATCATACACAGTATAATAGATTCAAGTAAGATGTTTCAAATGATATAAAAATGTATGCAAACATGCCTTTGGAACAGTTTTTTTTTCGAGTTTTATTTACCTTAACGTCGACTCAGTCTTAGAAAGCACCAAGATTAATCACAAAACAGTATTCTTTTATAAACCTCTAATTCCAAAAATAATCAGTAAATCCTGTGCAATGAATAAGAATACATACATAATAAACTGATTTACAATTAAACACATTTTGCATAAATGAGGTCCCATGAAAAATGTAATTTTTATGATTATTTAAGAAAGAATAATTCCGGGCACTTTTGTGCGCAGTAAGTGCCCAGCTTAGGGCATATAGGCCCACACATTGAGAGAGCAGCTTAGCTCAGTCAGCTAATCTGGTGGTAGCCAC